ATATAGGGATGGCCGGTTTGCTCACTGGCTGAGCGTGGCGCTGACAACACCAAGCCAAGAGTTGAGATCCCCTTACCGGTCATCTTTAAAAAAAAAAAAAAAATCCAAGATTCATCAAACTCACCATGGCCAGAATGGAATTTGACCTCTACCTTGCCCCTGCCCTAATCTTGGCTCTTTTTGGGGTCCCTAGCTCAGAAGGCACTACTAGCCACCAGTTCCTCTAAGCTTGAGCCTCCCAGTTATCATTAATCCTTCCATCTCCCTTGGCCTTACATCCAATCAATCACCACGTATTGTCCGTTCTAGCCCAGAACCATCTCTCAATGATGCCCTCTCCTGTGTACCTCCATTACCAGTTCCCCAAGACAGACACCCTCTTATCATCTTTTCCCTGGACTACGGAGACGTTCCCACCGGTCCCCTGCCTCCAGTCTCTCTCCCTGCACTTTCCCCACCACCCAGACACAAATGCCACCATGTCACTTTCCAGGGGATGATCCAGTCCAAGCTCCTTGACCCCTGCAGCCTCATCTACCATTTCCAGCCACAGCCCCATGGTGGTTCCTCCTCTTCTCAAACTGGCCAAATCGGTCTCATCCTTCCAGGCTGACTGAAAGTCACCTCTCCTTGACAACTCTCCTGTAGTGACCCCTCTTCTGTGCACGTACACACTTACTTACTAGCTACTTTTTTTAGGGACTTTTTTTAATTGTTATAAAATGCACCTAACATAAAATTTACCATCTTAGACATTTTTAAAGTGTATAGTTCATGGCATTAAGCACATTGACATTGCTGTGTAGCCATCACCACCGTCCATTCACAGAACTTATTCATCTTGCAGAACTAAAACTCCACACTCATTAAACACTGATTCCCCACCCCAGTCCCCCAGTCTCTGGCAACCACCATTCTACTTACTGTCTCTATGGATTTGACTACTCTAGAAACCTCACGTAAGTAGTATTACACAGTGTTTGTCCTTTGTGACTGGCTTATTTCATTCAACATAATGTCCTCAAAGTTTTGTCCATGTTGTAGCATGTCTCACAGTTTCCTTCCTTTATAAAGCTGGATAATATTTCATTGTATGTATAGGCCACATTTTGTTTATTGACTGAGCTATTGATGGACACTTGGGTTCTTTCCACCTTTGGGCTATTGTGAGTAATGCTGCTATGAACATGGGTGTACAAATACCTCTTCCAAAACCTTGCTTTCAGGGAACACTTCGGGAAATAGGACTGGGCAAAGACTTTATAAATAAGACCCCAAAAGCACAGGCAACAAAAGAAAAAATAAACAAGTGGGATTCTATACAACTAAAAACCTTCTGCACAGAGAAGTAAACAATCAGCAGAGTGAAAAGACAACCTATAGAATGGGAGAAAATATTTGCAAACTATGCATCTGAGAAGGGCTTTTTTTTTTTTTTTTTTTGTCTTTTTGTCTTTTTCTGTGTCCGGCAACGGATCGCAACCCTCAGTGTTGCCCCCGTACTGGGCTGGGGAC